TATTGAGATGGGTATTTGTGCTACTCCATACAAAGATATACCAATCAAGTTGCAAGATGCATTGAATCAGGATTTATGTGTAATCAGATTGTTGAAACAGGACTGGAAAACACTGCCTTAGGAGACGCGAGATGGATTATAGAAAGCTAGCAGGGAAGAGTGGTGTGCTTTGTACAATACAGCCTCATCGTGGAGCCTTTTGCAGTGGAAATTATGCTGCAGGACTTTTGTAAGATACATGATTGTCAAATATTGTATAAATGGATGTGGCAGCATGGGATATAACAACATGATGTAGCTCCAAAACCATTATAACATACTCAACTTCTGTATACTAGATGTATTTGTATTTATGAGGAGTATGCAGTGAATACCTCTTATTAGCGTTATTGCTAGAAAAATGGATTTTTTCTCATAGAACCTTGTGTGGTCTGTTCTGTGTCAAGTCTGGGTTTTTAGTGAGGTTTTTATTGCTTAAATCCAATATTTTACTTGATAATAAGATTACTGAAGTGGTAAAATCAGTACACTATCTATACAAGACTTTTTTTACGCTTGAGAAGTGAGCTTTTTAAAAATCCTTGCTTTAGTATGCTTGAATTTAGTATTTTTTTTATCTTGTCACTTATAATTCATAGGAAACAGTGCATATACTATTAAGTTCTACGGTCTAGATTTAACTATTATCTGAACATTAACAGTTATTACATCCACATTTTATCTTATGAGAAAAGGGTAATGACAGTAAAAGGTTGTTTTTTTTACATGTGTATTTTATCTTGGGAGAAAAGGGTAATGACAGTAAAAGGTTGTTTTTAAATACACATTTTATCTTGGGTGAAAAGGGTAATGACAGTAAAAGGTTGTTTTTTTTCATACACATTTTGTCTTGGGAGAAAAGGGTAATGACAGTAAAAGGTTGTTTTTTACACACGTTTTATCTTGGGAGAAAAGGGTAATGACAGTAAAAGGTTGTTTTTTTTCATACACATTTTATCTTGGGAGAAAAGGGTAATGACAGTAAAAGGTTGTTTTTTTTTCATACACATTTTATCTTGGGAGAAAAGGGTAATGACAGTAAAAGGTTGTTTTTTACACACGTTTTATCTTGGGAGAAAAGGGTAATGACTGTAAAAGTTGTGTCTTGCCAATGAAATACTAGAAGTCTAATACAGTAGTTCTTACTAATTTGTAAAATGTTTTTAATAAGGTATTACGTAAGTGAATTGAAAAACATGAATTTTAAAATAAAAGTAGCTATTTGAAAGTTTCCACCCCTCTTTCATCTGTGGGGGTATTATAATGTGAGGGTTGTTGGTAAAAAATGTGCCCAAGAGTTGGTGGTGGGTGATGTTGACTATCTGCCTCCCCTCTGATCTATCACTTCTAAATTCAAGATGGTTAGTACAGGTAACCCCTGAGTAGGTTTGCACAAAATTCAAAAAGAAAAAAAAAACTTCTTCCCTTATCTAAGTGACATAGTGGAATCTGTTTTGAATCTTCCTTCCATATAATTAATATCTTAAAATTAGCTAATTTCTTAAACTATACCTATTGAATTTTTCTGTTCAGGTAACATTTTAAAATTATGTTTATCATAATAGTTCTTGCGTTTTTCTTCTGTACTTTAGTTATAAACGTGATCTACTCGTATAGTTGAAGTTTCATTAATTGTTAGAGAAGACCTGATGTATATACATAAATATCAACCATTAACACCATCCCCTCTCAAAAGATAAAGTTACAATAGTTGTATAAAACAATTGAAAACATTAAAAAACAAATATTGCAGTAATGGCACCTAAAAAACTTGATATACTGTCTTATTAATATCTATTAAATACAGGTAAAAAGTTGCACAGCTACTACAGAAAAACTGAAAGGAGTTGTGGCATGGGTACTCCAACGTACATAATTCTAATTTTTATGCTTTTTTTTGCATGATTTTAATGGGTTTCTTTGTTTTTTAGTGCTGGTTTTGTTTGCCCACACACACACACACAGTTGATGCTTATGCTTATATCAGGCTAGGCTGTAGCTTTTGATATTTGTCAGAATTTGAAGCATTCTTAAGGTTTATGGAAATTTACAGTTTATTACTGTAATTACCATTATTTTAAAGGGTAGTGTTAGGGTTTTAGTAAAAACCACGTCATTGGAAGCTTGGACTCAACTTGAATAAGTTATTAGTCACACATGTTCTAAAGGTAAAGAATAACCCAAAAGATTGGTCATTGTTCTCCAAGAACATAGGCACATAAAAATAAAAATACTCTAAATTGTACGCACTTAAATGACTAAAACACTTAAATAATCAAAATGTCAGTCATTCCCTGTTGAGCAGATTTCATGATCTAAGAATATATATGAAGAAATAGTTAACGTATTCAAAAACTACTGTAGTAGGAGGCAATACATCACACACACACACACACGTATCCAGAGCAGATATGGTTTGTCCAAGATAAAGAAGTAAAAAACAAACTCTAGAAAATAAATATTCTAACAAGAAAACAAAATTTGAAGCAAAAAGAATGAAAAAAAATTTTTTTTTCTCTGAAAATAAAGTTAAAGAAACTAAAGCAAAAAAACTATTTTGATTTGCTCGTTTTGATTTTTCTTGACTCCATAACTTTCTGTTGCTCAGCTTATGTTTCTTGGTTAATAAATATATCAGACCATGATTTAAGTTGTTGTATTCATGCGTCTGTTGTTGTTTTATTAATTGATATTGGGACGTTCATTATTTATTTTTTATTCTAGCACAAGAAAGCTCATCCTTTTAAATGATGAAGTCTCTATAGTTGACATTTGTGAATGTTATTTATGTTTACTTTTGTATATGGAAAACATAGTTGTGAAATTTTTAAAAGGTACCACAGAAGATGTGGAAGATTGTTTGTTCTTTGTGTATATCAAATAAAAAATCAAAACTTGGCCTTGTTGTGTATAATTTCACATTGTATACTGGGAATACAGGTAGGTAAGAGTTATTTTGTGGCCGTGGGGTAATGCTTTTTTTTTTAATGGGATTCAAAACATGTAAGAGAAAGTTAGGATTTTTTATGTTTGCAATGTATTATGGATTGTTATTTTATTATTAAACAGTAACTATAAACACGTACCAGTTTTTGCTATTCAATTTCCCAGCCTAAGAACTCCTTACAAAAACTGTTTAATTTTGATAATAAGATTGTTTTTTTAAAAAATGTCCTGGTATTACATATTAAGCCTTTTTTTCACATAGTGAATGCTCATACATATACTTTGAATTTAATACATTGATATTAGTTTTTCTTGAAATCTGTTAGTGTAATTAATGTTACTGAAATATTTCTCTTTGTTCAACATATCTGTGACACTACACAACTTTAAGTAGGTCCTTAAAAATATATAATTGAATAATAAGAGTTCTGATTTTAATAGAAAGTTTTCTTGGGGAAGTTGATAAAGATTGTCATGTTTCTTGAGGACCCAACTTGATAAGGAGAATTAAATTCTGTCTGTACTTACCTCAACATCCAGTTTGTGTATTCCAAAGGAAACATTATACATCTGGTATTTGTTTTACTTGTACTTATGGGTGTTACATGAAAGCTATGCTAAGCATGATGTCTTTATATTTGCTCCAATCGGCATATCTACGGACTTGGATAAAGATTAAAGTAAGAAAACTGTGCAGCTGAGATAGTTGAACAGTGACATATTTTCATGACTAAAAGAAAACATAGTAAAGAAAATGCCAGTATGTTCTTTGTGTTTTTACTATATGTGATGGTGCTGTTGTTAGCTCTACTGAATTATAATTTAACAAATAATTGTCTTCAGGACATTTAGAATAGGATTAAAATAATAATACACGTTATTCTCTGTACATGTACTGGCTTTCTAAGCTCAATAATTATTTCTTCTCAGCATTTAACTCAGCATTGGCATATGGTTTACTTCACCCATTTGAACAAAATAACCGAGAAGACCACAGTGCTGCCTTCAACAGAAGCTTCTGATGAGATCAAAGAAAAGACCACAGTGCTGCCTTCAACAGAAATATCCAAACCCTCTGATAAAGTTGAATCTGATGAAGGTACGGGAAACTCTCAGTCGATTGACGTGAGGCTTGAAGGTCTTTTGACCGAAAGAGAGTTGCTGTTGAAGGAGGCAAAAGGTAAGATTAAATACATATATTTGGAAATTAATAAGAACTTTAAAAATAAATGGTAACTATAAGTTTTATATTCATTTGAAGCAATAAAAATAGGAAAATTTATTAGTAAGTATATTTCAAAATCGGGAATTAATTGACCGTGGAAGTTAATTTTAAATACACCGTTGATGAAATTTTAATAGTTTGTACAATGTTTGTTAGTATTATGTTGTGGATGAAATGTAAGAGGGAAAGATAATATAACTTTAACAAAACATTGATTAGTGTATTAGTGGGATCACTGAACAGATTGGAGTTTGTGGGGAGTGTTTCTCTGAGTGAGTGTGTGTGTGTATACATATATATCTAAATTTATTTTATCAAAAATACAATATGAAAATTATAGCACAGTCAGGTTTAAAAATCTAAAGTTACGCAAGTTCTGTGTTTGAACATGTAACAAGTATGCGTTATAAAATTTAAAATGATAAATAGAGCACACGAGTAAAATACATTAATAGTAAGAAGAAAAAAATGAATGAGCTCACAATTTGAGAAGACCTGGTAGATAGGGTGCTCAACTCGTAATATGTGGGTAGCAGGTTCGGATCCCCATCACCGAACATGCCAGTTTCGATTCCATCACAGAGCATGCTTGCACTCTCATTCATGAAAGCCTTAGAATTTGAAGGCCAATCTCACTATTTGTTGGTAAAAGAGTAGCCATAAACTTGGTAATGAGTGGTGTTTACTAGATGCTTTCCATCTAGTCTATCACTGTCAAATTAGGGAAGGTTAGTGCAGATAGCTCATGTGTAGCTCTCTGAAAAATTCTAAACCCAACTACAATTCAAGGAGAACTGATAGAGCAAATTTTTATTGATTTTTAGCTTATTATGAAGTTCCATTTACAAGACTCTCCAGTCTTTAACTGTTATCATTATCAACTAACCAGTTATGCTAAACTTGTCTACTGTTACAATATTTGCTTTTAGTGTGTATTAGGCAATGATTGAAATATTCCTTTATTGTAGAACCCATAAATCTTTCAGTGCAGAATGTACAAATGTATGAATACCAAACATACAACTATCTATTCATTTTCCAAAATTGGCTCAAAAACTAAAACTATCATTGTGATTGGGTGTATTAATGAAATAATTTATTTGTGTATTTGGGTGAAAATGACAATCAGTCAATGCAGGAAAAAATTTAAAATAAAAAACAAGGGTTAATTCTAATAATAATTCAGCTATTTTTGTATATGAAAAATGGTAACATAAACACCAAAATACTGTCTACAGACTGTGTTATTTAAATGTGTTTTAACTTAGGTAATGTCTTTTTTTTATAATCTTGTGTAAATATTATGTATTGATGAGTTTAAACCGTCTTTATGGTTAGAAAACAAAACTTGTTTTGAGCATTTGATTAGAGGGTAGAAATGTAATTTTAAAATAAATTATTGTTAGGAATTTTATAGTATTTGTTTTATTACAAACTTCTATTCATTATGTATTGTCAGTTGAAGCATGATTTTCTGAGTATTTGTTGAATGGTAAAAAAGTATCTTTGAAAAATGTAGTTAGCAACAGAGGTTAGAAATATTTACATATTGATGTTTCTACTATATTACTTCTGCTTGAGTGTATAATCCACTGATGTTTTTTATGCTCTTGTTAGTATAGTTCTTAGTAATCTCATAGACGTTCATGATAAAGTTGATATGAAACCATTGCTATTTAATTACATAGATATGTATCAACGTCTTCTTGATGTACATGTAAAAGACCTTACTGAACTAAAACAAAGAGTACAAGATGAATACCAAGCTGTGTTGGTTCTCCACAAGAAGATGAATGCAGAGCTGGATAAAATTGTAGAAGAAACAAATTTGAGCTCAAAATTAAAATCTCTTGAGGCAGAGAAGTCTGAGCTGCTTGGGAAACTTGAAATCTTAAACCGACAGTTGGATGCTATAGAGTATCAAAATCAGCAGTTGCAGCTTTTGGTAGTACAGCTTCGTAAAGATGACAGCTGTTTAAACTGTAAACGGATGACCGATGACAAGGACCGTGCTTTAGGGAAAGAATCTAGTACATCCCAATTAGTGTCTCAAGGAACCTTAAGCAAGTCATTTGCATCCTTGGAAGAAGGAAGGCTTTCTTTATTTGGGAAGGTTCCATCTGAAGGAGGAGATGTTTTCAGAGAACTTGATAACCATTATCGAAATATGTATGAATTAAAGATTGTAGAGTACGAATCACAACTTAAGGTAGCAACAGAAGAACTTGAAAAGAGCTACCAAAAAAGACTGGAAACTGAGAGAAAGAAACATCAGAAAGAAATTATAGATATGGAAAGTAAGAAAACAAATCTAGAAAAAAAATATCAAAATGATTTAGAGAACGTAATTGCTAGGCATGAATCAGAAAAGAGAGCTCTGGAGCAAGCATACTGTGAAAAGTTAGCAGAAGAAAGAAAAAATACTAGTGAACGTCCTCTTATGTCTACTGTGGATGAAGATAAAGTCAATGATTTGTGCCAAAAGCATTTGCTTGAACTTGAGAAGTTGCGCAGTGAACTGGAAGAAAAATTTATTGAAGAAAAAGATACATTATGTGAAGAACATGTAACAAAAGTAAAAGAGTTGATTATGGAACACAATAAAGAGATGAAAGTTCTTCAAAAGTGTACAAAAGAGAAAAATGAACAGCGAGTGATTGATTTTCCTAAAGATGATAAAGCAGTTTCTTTGGCAGATGAAATAAGTCGGTTAACTAAAGAAAAAGAAGAAATACTTCAAAATAAACTAGAGATAGAAACAAAACTAAATTCTCAGTTGGCTGATCTGATCCAAGAGCATCACAATGATTTACAAGCCCAGATAGAGGACATGAACATTAGATTCAATGAACAGAGAAAGACATTCGAAGCAGAACTCCATCACCAATTAGAAAACATCAAAATGAATCACGGACAGGAAATGCAGCTTCAAGAGAGAGTATTGAAAGAAAAACATCAGGAAACTTGTGCTAAATTAGAGGAAGAACACAAAAAACAGTTGAAAGAATTGAAATCATGCCATTCAACGGAGATCGAGCAGTTGCAAGACATGATTGAGGAACAAAAGATGACCAGTCAAAAGCAGATTGAAGATCTTAAATCTAGTCATTCCTTAGAAGTTGATGGATTTCAGCAAAAAATAGAAGACCTTCTGAAAAAGAATAGAGACTTGTTCTCGAAACATTTGTTAGAAATGGAAGAGGTTTCTCTTTATTATTCAAATGAATCTAGACAGATGAGCAACAAGTTACGAGCCAAAATTGAAGAAGAAAAGACACACTTGTTGATGGAAGTATCTAAGTTAGTTGAGAAAGGAATTGAGAAAGGACTTGGTCATAAAGTAGAGGAGATGATCTCAAACCTACTTCAAGTGATTAATTCTCTGATCACGGTTAAGACACGTGTAAAATCTTTGAGTGATCTTGGAAAGAAAGATGAAGACAATGGGTAAGTTAGCTTTGAAATGTATTTATATAAATTCATTGAGAATTTAGAGAAGCAAAGAGAATGACATTGTTTTGGTCAACAGAAAGCTAGAATCTGAGACTTTTATGGAGAAATATGTTCTTAGTAGTAATTGTTAATCAGTATTCTCTGATAGGAAAAGTAATCATTAAAAACAATTAAGGTCTCTAACACTACAACTTCACGTATAGGGTTTTTAAAGGGAATTCCTGAAGTTTTGATTTATTTAAACATTCTCTAAACATTAGATGTGAATTTTTTGTAGGTATTTAATGTAATATGGGAAGAAACCTGAGCCAGTTTTGTTTTTTTCACTGAAGAAATACATCAAACACATTTTAAAAAGGTGTTTTGTTTGTACTGAGGAATTTCTGAAATATTCAATATCTTAAACAGCTGTGATGTTGAAGACTTTACCAGAATTCTTACACCTCCAAATTTCACTCTTAGCTTTTTCAACAACATACTGCACAGCGATATTTTGCTTTAACATTATTGTCTACAGCCTGCTTCATACAAACTGCACAGCGATTTTTTGCATCGACACTATTGTCTACAGCCTGCTTCATACAAACTGCACAGCGATCTTTTGCATCGACACTATTGTCTACAGCCTGCTTCATATAAATTGCACAGCGATCTTTTGCATCGACACTATTGTCTACAGCCTGCTTCATACAAACTGCACAGCGATCTTTTGCATTAACATTATTGTCTACAGCCTGCTTCATATAAACTGCACAGCGATCTTTTGCATTAACATTATTGTCTACAGCCTGCTTCATATAAACTGCACAGCAATCTTTTGCATCGACACTATTGTCTACAGCCTGCTTCATACAAGTTAACTTTTTTTTTCTTTGAGTTGTTGATCATGTTATTCAAATATCTCCTTTAATTTTTGGTCATATTCTTACAATATTTCTCATTTTTTCTGCTATGCTACTTCAACTCTTAACCTGTTGGATTTATAAGTATGCCCATTTTTCTCATTATTTTATTTTTTCTTGCACTCAGTTCTTTTACCATTATCTGAAAATCTATATTATTTTGGAAAAAAACACAACCAAGCTCTAACTTTAAATACAATTTCTCAGACTTGTAGTCAGTTATAACTGTCAATCTCACATTACAAATCATTTATCAGTCTTTAGTGATTTGATTTTTTTTTAGAAATGAGAACGTGTTGATTTTTGTGGTGGGATGTAATTTGAAATTTTCTTTTTGTTCATTCCTGTCCCAATCCAATAGAACAAGTGGCTGGTGCTTATTATCTTCGGGTACTAAAATGGGTTATTTAACTGAAATTAGTCATAAAAGTTATCCTTGCATTTAAATCTTGTAAACATAACCTAAAACTTGAGTACTGTGGTTTGAAAATACTAGACTAAGTCATTAACCCTTTGACTGTTTATGCTTTAAACGTGTGCAGAATTTTTGTGAGCCATACACTGTATACAGCATTCAACTGCCTGCGGGGAACCATATCCTATATGATAAATTAGCAGTCAATGAGTTAAGTACTTAAAGTGAATGCCATTGACTCTTGAATTTCATTCATCAGGGGTTGTTAATTTATTAACACACTTCTGGAACACTTACACTACCTAAATGCTAAGACTTCTCATGTCCCTCGGTGGGACAACACTAAGCCTATAGATTTACAGTGCTAAAACTTAGGGTCTGATTCCCCCATGATGGAGACAGCAGATAGCCCAATGTGGCTTTGCTCTATAAAAACAAACAAACAAACAACAAGACTTCTCATTCAATTCTATTTATGTAGTATAATGTTCTTCATCTAATATTATTAAAAACTTGTATAACATTATCAACAAAAACTATTATGCATCAAAAGGTTTAGCTAATTTGTATGTTTGGTCGGCCAAACTAGTGACACGGGTAAAATATAATAAAAATTATTGCTGTAAGCTATAATTTCAGTGTTGTAATTTAGTTGTTTGCTAGAGAGAGAGCTGGTAATCATGATGATGATATTAGATCAAGAAAGTTCATACAAGTACTCTTCGAATCCAGAAACTTGCCATACTTGACAGAAGTGAAAGTTCAGTATAAATACAGTAATGGATGATCTTGTAAAGATTGATTCATTTGTTGATTGACTAAAGTCATTCAGATCCCTGAGTGTTAGAGCCTCTGTGAGCTAATCAGCATGTTAGGTTGCTATCAATCAAGGAAATGTCTTGTTAAACATTACTATTATACTATGCCTACAGTAGTTTCAGAGTCTTTTGAAAATGATTGTATTTGAAGGGCCTATAGGTGAGCATGGCTGTAACAAACATGAAAGAAGAAATAAGTTATTGTTATGTGGACTGGATCTTGCATCATTTTTATCAAATAGTTCATAAGAATCTACCAAATTGTGGAACAACATTACAACAATGTATATAACAGGTCAAAACAATTTATAAAACTTCCTACAGTTAGGCAATATAATATTGTGACATATTACTCCAGAATTGACTCGGTTTGTTTACCATTCTGTTCATTTTCAAATTCGGCAGTAACTTCGGCTTAATTTAAGTTCTTTCACATATGTATCGCAGGATTGTTATGTCTGTTTTTGTGGCATCAAGCTTTTGCATATTTTTATCGTGTTCACAAAACTATTTTGATAATTCACTATGAACATTCAGATTTTTTGTTGATTATTTTTTTCCATTGTAGTTTTCCAGAGTTATGTTTTGGTGCATATGTTGCTTTAATTTATGATAGCTTGAATATCTGTGATCAGTAATATAATAATATTTAACATATGCATTAGTAAAAGCAATACTAAGTAAGAAATTAACTAGAAGTGTTTAATATTATGAATCACTATGACAAAAATTTCAAACTTACAGTGATTTTATTGCAATGAATTAACAATGTTTTTGGCCATAATCAGAGTTATATATTGTAAAGTTGGACAAG